TTACATTGTGGTTTATGTTTAAAGACAAGTTCAAATATAGCTGTGTCAAGTTTATCTTGGCCATCTCCAAAGAATGACTTCCCACTCTGTAAGTCCAAATCTTCCAACTTATCATAAGACACCACTCAAACTTTTTGACAGTTCATATTCTTAAAAATTATCTTATTTTCTAATAATACAAACATTTTGGCTTTATCTCTTAAAGTCAAACTTTTTAAAAATCATACCTGCTCTTAATGGACTCGGTGATTTTTCTATAAGTAAAATAAAATATTCCACACAATCATAGGCATTTTCCTAAGGAATATAAGGGTAAATGGCTAGGTCTCATCCCTGCCCCCCTTCCCCCCCCAACAAATTTCAACCCCCTCCATGATGACCCATGGTCACAAGGTTGCATGTGCCAAGCAATCAGCAGTGTTCACAGATTAAGTTATTTTGTGCTCAAATATCATGTCAGTGCTGAGAGGAAGACATCACATGACACGCAAAGCTGACAACCTCCTGACCTTATCACGGAGGCCACCTCGTCGTAAGACACCGCCATGATTGTTTCACACAGACTACACCATGCTGATACACAGTAACCCTTCCCCCTTGAAACACACACACAAAGACAGATGAACTACTACACAGCACATCTCCGCCATCTTCCCCAATTACGATATTAAACACTTTTCCATAATTATCAAATTATAGAGAAACATTTCTTCCAGATGTTTTGATAATTTGTTTTTGACATATATGTTCTGACTTGTGACATTAATACTTGGAATGGGTATCAGTTCTGACCAGAAAATTGCCAAAAAGAGAAAAAGCGACCCAGGGTCACACCAAATGTCACCCCTCAATTTTGTTATTACAATACTGTAAACACTTTGGCAGAGTTTTTAACATTTACATAAACACCCAATTGTATTTTTTGGTATTATTTTGTCCAATTTTCAAAGGGCACCCAGTACTCCTCAATTATGAGTGACCAAAAAATTAAAATTATATTTTTATCATAACTTGTTATGACCACCCAGGATTTCACCAGGGTGGTGATGGTGGCGGGGTAAGGAGACGAGGGGGGGGGGAGGGAAATAGAGAGAACATGGGTAGAGAAAACATCTGCTCTACACCAAATTAACAAAGAAGAGGAAAATGTTCCTCCTTTGGAATATCTTATGCTCTGCAGTTTTTTTTAATAATGAAATGTCACTGCTGGCACAGCATAAAGAAACTACAGAACTTTGGGACTCTTGTGGGGTACATATACCCATAAATACACCCATACATGCAGTTATCCCCATACATCATATATTTTACAGTACACAGCTACAACAAAAACACAACAAATGAAGCCTCTGACAATCTGTTGTTATCAGTGTACATGCGTTGGCAACTCTGATCAGCAGTGGGTGTTAAAATTCTGTAAATGCTAGACAGTTATTAACATGTACTGTCTAAAATCAACACTGAATTCCAAAGAACAGCTCACTGACAGGAATATACTAGTATAGACATATATGAGCATATCCAATTCCTAATGGCACCACTATAGAACAAATCCCATAACCATACATGTAGCTATACCTGAGTGTTGTCCCAAGTCACTGTTGTCATAGTAAGAAGCATGGGCTGAATTTCAACACATCAGCCATTTTGTACTCTTTTCTGAGCCTCTTCTTGAACTTCAGTTGGAAACTCACTCAAATTTTTTATAACGCAGTCTATGCAGAACCGTTTTGTGTAAAAAATGCTGCAGCCCTGAAATAATTACACAAGATTAATATATATCACACTGCATTGCAAATTTTATCCAAGAAGTTAAAAATCATATCAATTTAAATATATAAAAACGGAAATATTCATCATTAAATAAAAATGGATATTAAATCATGTGTGCCTAAGTCTGAAGTCTAATACAGTATGCCTAAAACTGTCACTGTACATGTATATTTTTTCAATGTACAACTACCAATAATTGTGACATCCCTTTCGACATCCAATGCTGTAAGTAAATGGATACTGCAATGCACTATTAAATTCTGTCATTGTCAATTTTTTTCCTAGATTTTTAATACAAATAATTATTCTTAAATTGTTTAAGTGTACTTTGCACCTCACCAAATCCATCAAAACTACAAAATAAACAATTATTATCTGTAGTATTTATTACATCTATCTGTACCAGTGCATAACAAGTGTTTGTCACTGTTCACCTGAGCTATGCACACAGACTTGGAGCAGACTGAGCAGTGACTGCCCAGGATGATAAACTTGCCGCGCCGGTTCTCTGCAAACGGATCGTTCATTATGTACGCTTCCTCTAGCAATCTGAAATAATCCACTACAGTTTGTGTATGTACTCTACAGGGTTAGAATATTGATTTACAAATTCAAAATTGAAACAACAAAAAACAAAAAAATAATAAATGATAATGAAAAATATGTTTATGAATGAATAACCAAATTAATAATCTATATTATGTACATTATAATATTATATATGACATTATTATTACATAGAAGTTACATTTCCATTATTAAAAAGTTTTGTACTGGTACAGGTCCACATGTACATTAATTCTCAAACATGGGCAATATAATTCATGATACAACAAGTAATTTTTTTCTTAGTGATCAAATCCAAACACTACAAAGAATACCATGCACCAAGTATTGTTTCTAGTACTATAACACTGTTGTTATATTTTACTGTTTGAACAATAATTATATGTCTTATTACAGAGTACTGCCAGATGCTTTGGTCCACATGCATATGTTGATAAAATCAAGGTTTTCACAACAGTAATTAAACATGTGCAATACAATCACCAACCCAACACTCTTTCATTCCTAGTCTGACCTTCGATTTACTTTCATGTAGAAAAACACAACTATCAATTATCCAGTCTCAACTAAAGCAATATGAGAATGCCCCCCCCCCCCCTCCCCTTCCTTCAGCCCATGTCACAGGTGACCACCTATCAGCGGTCAGTTTTTCACAACGCTGGAAGTGAAAGAAGTCGTCAAATGCGATTCATCATACCTATACCACAGAGACAGTGTTCATCTAGTATTAACTCCACCAAAATAACTTTAAAGCCATAAAATTAATTCAAATGATATGATGGCGTCAATTAAAGACAAAGTACCATTTTCAGTAAGTTGTCAAATTGCTTATCTTTCCATTATTTATGTAATGTTTTACGTAAATATACTTACAGTAATGTATCTGCCCCTGGTGGTTTGTTCCCGAAATAGTCATAGTTTATGCAAAAACCGCATTTAGAGCAAAGGAATTTGGAGGTCATTTTCAGAGCAAATGAGTAACTCTTTAGAAAAAGAAGTGCGAAATGTAGTACATCAATATGAAATGCGGTAGATGCGCCAGTTTTCTTACTCAGAAATTGCGTTTTTCATTTTTGCCATTTTTGCCGCGTTAAATAAACCTAGTTGACTGAAATGAAAAGTGTTACAAAAAGGCCAATCACAAAATTAAAAGACCAATATTTGTGAATTACTTCCACTTATTCAAATTGCATATTTTTCAAAAGAAGACATTTTTAAAAGTAAACTTATGCTAGAGAAAGAGTAGGGAGAAAGGGCTACTCCTAAATCGGGCTATTTGTCTGACGCCTTTTCTTTTTAAAGTCTGTTTTCTTACACCAAAAGAGACTAAACAACATCTCTCTTCTCTTAAATAACGCGTCGACTTGAGCCAAGTGTGTCCACAACACTGTTAGCACAACAGAATCCTACAATGTTACAAACAAAGATGTTATTTATCAGAAAAATGGTTAAGCAGCTCCAATCGTATACCACTGTACTTTTATATCGGTCGCCACTCATAGTCACCCTAAAGCAAGCAGCCAAAGTAGCCTCCTCTTGTCGTCGCTATGCACGTACTGGTAGGGTTCTTAGATAAGACAGACATTTGTATAGTGTTCCAAACAGAGCTTCAGCGTAATAAGCTTATCTGTCAACAGCGTCATCCCTAGAAGTAGCTGGGTTTGACAACAGAGCATAACCCAACATTACTATTGGCAGATTAACTGTATTAAAAAAAATTCACTATTGGATCGTCGCCATCTGCCTGTCAGAGAAACCGTGTAAAAGAAAGCAGACTGAAGATCACAAATTAACGGACCATTCCTACTTTCGGCCATGTCTAAAGTGACCGAGCTGCAAACTTTCCCAACGTCTACTGACACCCTGACGTCCAGGAAAGACGCCCCAGATATGGTGAACAGGGATCCCAACGATATAAACGCACATTTGAAGGTAATTCTTTAATGTAACACATACATGTAGGTACATGCATGGGTGCGTGCGTGCGTGCCTACCGGTACGTGCGCGTGCGTCTATTGTTAGTTTGATTTTCAGCAAAAAAATTTTAATACTGCATATAAATTTGAAAATAAGTACATTGCTTATCTAATTTTCGACTATGCTGCACCACTGTAGGGAATAATCTCTCTTTTTTTTGTTTTTTTTTTTATTTTTTTTTATTAAACATATACAAACACAATACAGCACATTACAAAGAAGACAAACATACGAGAACATGCAATACATCACAGAATCAGAAAGCACATTTCAGTACAAATACTAAACAATACACTACATCAGTACAGTTTTAACTTAATACAATATATACACTTTTATGGGTGCACAGTCACTGAAATATTATTTTAATATTGTAGAACGTTTAATACAATACACAAAATTCTTCAGTACATTACAAAGTACATTATAAACTGAACAATACGTCAACGAAGCAAGGTGATACTGTGCACCACTATAAGAACTAGAGATATAATAGATTGTGTGTCTTAATGTAATATAGTGTATATGCACATTCGTACACACATTTTTTTTCATACAGCCTCACACATCCGAAGGCGCACGCACACTGTTGTGCACACAAATACTTATAATACAGATGCTCAGTCACTGAAATACTGATCTTATTTTGAGCAAGAAATAAAAATACATATTATAAACAGTTTTGTTTTGTTATTCCGCTAATATCTTATCAATATTTAGCCAAATCTGTTGTATGTTAGTTCGTTTCGCTTGAGGATACATGTATAATGAAATTATCTCTTAAATTCCCTGGTGGAGAACGTTTTTCATGTTTATTATCGTCTTCAAATATCAGAAGAATGAGGTCATTTGAACTCTTAAAGCAAATAAGACGTAGATTACGTAACGTTTCTGACATTTGCGTCAATAATAATAATAATAATAATAATAATAATAATAATAATAATAATAATAATAATAATCAACTGGTTTGTTGATAAACGACCAAAATTTTCTAGTTTTTTCCTTTATTTGGTTTTTCATCATATTTCTTTTATCAACATAAATTCATTATCAGCTTTGATTTAAGTCGTAATTAAATAACCGTCCATGCATTGCAATAATAGTGCTGGATTGCAAACAACATGACAAGCGTGAACTCGTAATTGAAAATGCTTAGGTTTGTTCAATAAACCCCCGTAGATATTCATACTTATCTTTCTCTTGGTTGCCAACAAGGCATCAGAGAGTTATTTGACTATCCTATGCCAAATAGTAGGCAAGGGAGTTATCTCAAGTCCTTGTGCTTAGGTTTGCGTTCTTTGAGGTAACTAAGAGGCAGAATGTATTAGTCCGACGAGTAATCGCTTTTAAAGTATGTTTAAGGTGTAAAATTGAACCGAAAAAGTTTGATTAACGTTTAGAAATTGTAGAGTCGCTTTTAAATATAAAGCCATCCGAATTTTGAATTTAAGAGAATGATGAGATACGAAGTATGTCTGCCTTGCAATCCCCCCCTCCACCCCTCGTCTAACAGAATATCCCGTGGTAACGGTAACGCACACAAACATAGCTTCCCTTAAAAGATAAGAACGCCCAAAAGTATTCCTGCCTTTAGGCATTTTACTTTGAAAAATAGAGACTAATTTCAACAGAGCAACGGTTAAACTAACAGCGTGTTATTGTTCAAGAAAATTAAAGGAAAATGGATGAGGTCGATATGGTACAGCGCGATCCTAATGATTTAAACGCTCACGTTAAGGTAGGTATATTGTGAAATGAATATACCTGCCAGTGGATAGAACATTCAACAGAAAATTTGAATTAATAAGCTTAATTAGCGCAAGTTATATTTCAATAATGAAAAGGTACTTTACTAAATCCATGTAAGAGAATTCAGCTTACGATTCAATGCGTACACAATTAATGTTGACATTTAGGTAAATTCTGGTAGAGAAAAATGCGTCTTATCACTTTTTATTATTATTATAAATTTTTTGGTGACTTAGAAATACACAATCTGCCACTTCCAGTGCTATGTTTTTGTATGTTTCTCGTCGTCTGGGGCTTGATATTTGTCAAAGGGACAATTTGTAGTTTTTGGGACTGAAAAATGCTGTCACGAATTCCATTGATATCTTCATCAAGACCCAGTATTTTCTTACCTAAATTCAATGACATTTTAAAAAGATGAAATCAAAGCAAATAACTGCCAAACCAATACAGCCGGCAGCCAAGATAACGTTGATGTGAAATAGTTTTTATTTTACTTTACTAATGTAAAACTGAAATTTTTGGCATTTAAGTAAAAAAGACACAACCATAAAGAGACAGGTGTCTTAGACCCCGTTCCCATACCTAAATCGATCTAGCAGGATTGGATCTCCGAAGAGTTTCTAATTAAATTGAATTCAGCTTTAGCGGCTCTGATGTCTGGCACGCCTACTGAAGCTGTTAAAGGGTTATTAACTATCTTTAAGCAGCTTCAGTAGGCGTGCCAGACATCTAAGCTGGGTCGATCCCGATAGATCGATCTAGGTATGGGGACGGGGTCTAAAAAGCACCGACAACGCCCTCGAAGCCACTTCTCTGCCATCACAACAACAGTCTCCGTGGCTATGGATATGGTTGCTTCAATGACGAACTCGTGCACAAACAAGCGAATTATTAGGCCATCAGCAGAACTGTGCAATGAAACTATTTGCATTTTGGATATTCCGCCAGATTACACTTTATCTTTTATTACATCATTGTAAATCAAAGTTAGAGGGGAAAATGTCATGTTAGTGTAACTCTACAGCAACAACATTTAGTAACCTTTCCATTACAACACCGACCGTTTTCATTTATTTAGGACATTTTCCGAAACCTGGAAAGTTGCAAAAACACTTTGGGGTGACAAAGATATGGGTTTTTCTCAACTGTCAGGTATTGAGCAGTAGCCTATGGTGGGAATACATGTTACGTTTTCTTCAGAAAATCTAGTTATAGGGAACTAGAAGTCTTTCCTCACGCAAGAACAATACGACCCTTTACTAAAAGCATTGATTTAGCCCTTAAGATAATGCCATTTTTTCATTCTAGACCCAATTCGAGGACATCTTCGGCGAACCCGAGGGAACCCAAAGTATTGACTGTGTCTGGCGAAACGCTTTTAAGTGCTTCACAGGAGGGAAGAACTGCTGCTACAAGTTCATCACCATCATCTGCGCCCTGCCTATCGCGCTGTGCTGGGGCTGCGAGTTCGCCATGATAACGTTCGATCACGTGTGGAACCTCACGCCTGCGTATCGGTCCTTCGAGATCTACCTCACATGCTCCAAGCGTTACTTTGGCGCATGCGTGCACTGCATTTGCGATCCTTGTTGCGAGGCGGCTGGACTGCTCTTCAGTAACATTAAGATTGCTAAAAGTTAATTGTTATATCTACGGATACGCTCAGTGTGAAGTAAATCGGTCTTTTCTTGTCATTGTGTCTGTAGAACTTATTCTTCATGACCGGAGAACAGACTGCCGTCTGTTTGCCAATGAGGATGTCTTCAAATTGAACAATCTCAAACTGTTGAGAACAATGATTTTGATGCTTTATTTCGTAAAATAAAATACAAAAGGGCAATTTTATACATTTGAAAAATCTCCTTTAGTTTTTTTACGTGTATAATTTAAATGCTTGCCACTTGATTAATTTGATTTGTCATTCTAATTTGTAATAATGAAACTAACTGTTTCAAGAGTTAAGACAAACTCAAATGCACACCACTATCACTAATACCTGTGTTTTATTGTGATAATAAACTTTGATATAGGCAAATAACTATCTTGATTATACAGTACCGATAGGTGATTTATAGGTGCAATAGACCTGGTATAAATGACAACGTAAGTCTCTATGATAAATTCACTACTACCATTACTACTTCTACTACCTCTGAAACTCTGTGTTATGCCGTTCATTTCATAGTTAATTAAGTATGATGTGACGCAGTTTAGTCTCTTATCATTGAACAAGTTACACCTCATTTTGATATATGCCAGCGGCTGTTGGTTGTTGTTGATTACTTTCGTTTGTTGGCATGCCAAGAACAGTGTACGTGCTGTCACTGGCATTAGCATACCCAGCCACGCGGTTGCCTTTTGACATAGTATTGGCCTCCAGTGACAAATACTCGTGATCCCTATCAGCACTGTCTGGCGGACTCAAACTGTTTTGGTATAACTCTGAGTTGTCACAGTTAACCGCGTTAGCAGGTGTTGGATGTCTGTGACTATCTTTGATTGCTACAGTACTAAGGGCAGTATAATCGCTGTCATTAACGTTAACATATTCAGCCACGCGGTTAACTGTTGACATAGTTTTGGCCTCCAGTGACACATACTCTGGCTGACTCAAACTGTTTTGGTGTAACTCGGAGGTGTCGCTGTGATCCGCTTTAACGGCCCTGGGCGGCTGGGAGGAGTGGCACTGTTTACTGAATGGAAACGAAATGCAATAGTTCACATGTACCCCTTATCAGGAAGAAGGTTAAAAGACAAATGAATTTAGGTGGAATATCAAAATTCGTAATGCGTAAACATTGTTCAAACCAAAATCCTAAGAATTGAATCTATATATGCGTACACCACGGCAGGGATAGCCGACATCGTCCAGATGTACCAATACATTAAAAAAAGCACGTCGATTTAAGCATTAAATATTTCATATTCATATATTTTATATCATATGGTACTCTGATATATAACACTTAAAATTGGACAAACTTTGCAGGGTCTGATGCATTTATACAATCATAGCCTAAAAGGTGTCTCTTTTCATTTTACGTGTACCCTTTATCGTTACGTTTGTTTGGAATGTACATGTTTTTTATAGCCTCTTTTGACTTACCGTCTACGTTTGACGAATACAACAACTATTACAACAAGAAATATCAGCACTATCGCTCCAGTAACGCCCACACCGACACTGACACCATTGTTGGGGTCTGTGGATGCTGTTTGGGTACCAGCCTCAGGCAACACCGCTGGATGGTAAAAGGGAAACAAGTGAGATGGTTTTAAACATTTTTATGCTCTACTAGACGGCGAATCTTTATATTTAAAAATCAGTCTTTGATTTTGCATAAAAATAAGCAAGGAATTTTCAGTTTTTCTGAAGTGTGAATATAAACTCTGTATATAATGTAACAATTAATGTAGAAACAGTATTTAAACCAAAGATATAACAGAATTGTATAGGGCCATATAGAGTGCCTGAGTATCAAAATATTACAGTGGACATTACAGAACCCTGTCTGCCTGGAATTGCAGACACCTGTCTGCGTCGATGACCAAGTCGATTTGCATGGGGATTCGAAAAGATACCCATTATTCATATGCCTTGAAATTTGTACCTGTACAACTAAGAGAGTCCACACCAAATCCACCAGTTTCATCGCACGTCAAAGTTACACTGGTATTACCATCCGGGAATTGAAAACCTTTCATACATTTGAATTCAACTGAAGTCATGAAGAATAGAGTCGTGCTATCAGAAGCTGTGACTGTATTGTTTAAATGAGGTAAAGTACATGTTCTTTTTATGCAGTCTGGTATTGGCGGTTCCAGAGTATTTGTCGCAATGCATTGTGACTTAAACGACGCGTCGACGTCATAACCAGAGAAATGATATCCAGGAATGCAAGACAACGTCACATTCTGCTTGTAGACATATGGTCCTTCTGCCAAATCCAAATTGAATTTATCAGTAGGAAAAACACACGATATAGGAGCACAGCTAGGTAAACTCTGATCAAATGTTCCATCGGCTTGACAAGTTAGGTTCTTTACCGTTGACGTGTCGTTGAATTGGAAGCCAGTGTCGCATGTATATGTGATAGTTTGTCCTTCAAAGGTAACGGAACGCTGTGTTACCTGTCTCAGGTGATCACCTACAGGAAGGTCACAGGTTCCTGGAAGTTAGGCAAATCTTTTCAATATATTTATCTTTTCAAGTTTATTAAAAGACCAATGACAACAGCAGGAATTGTACACATAAATATTACGAGGGTATAATCGTTAGGTGAACATGTAGCAAACTGAGGATTAAATTTATAATTCTTAACCTTTTCTTCGTTTTCTATTTTGCTGTCTTTTTGATATCAGACTTACTGGTGCACGTTTTCCTCTCCCCTTCAAACGTTCCTCTAGGACCGCAAGTCAGTGTGAAACTGTTACCAGAACCATCGCTGAGTTGATACCTACTGTTACAGGTATAGGTAACAGTGCTGCCAAATCTGTAACCTCCAGGTGCCGGAGAGGGGGCTGCGTTAGGTATAGTCAGGGCAGTGCATTCCACAACTAAAAACAAAGTGTATGTCTGTTATGGAATCCATCAGTCGCAATAATGATGAAAAGATGACAACTTAATTGCACAAAGAACCTTATTTATTGATGGTTTCCACTTACACTTCTATCTTTTATTTATTCATTTCTTTCGTATTAGAAGAGGTTTATGATAAATGCAAAAACAATATCTTTGAGGGTAGTGTTCCATGTGTATGCTGTTTATTTCTGAAACAGTCGTAACGATTTTATTTGAATAGTTTGCATCAATTTTTTCTATCCGAAGCATAACATTGTGAAGACACCTATTTATGTAGAGGATGCATTAAAATACATGGACGTAGGGGCGTAGTTATTTGAAGGGGGGGTCCGGGGATGGGATGCGAAACCGACCCTCCTCCCCCCTTGGCATGGGGTTCGGGGGCCGCTTAAGGGCCCCGAAAATAATTGGTATTTTAGAGGGCGAACAGTGCCATTTGGTACGGTTTAGAACTATGATTCATCTAGTCAAAATTATAATGTCAGGACCCCCCCAAACCTCCCCTCTAAATCCGCCACTCTGGACGTATCTAAATAACAATGAAAATCAACGTCCCACTTACAACCAAGACACTGGTCACCAGTACGTCCCAGGTTACACACACACTCCTCTGAAGATATCTGTGTCGGTGAGGTATATGTTCTTACACACGTTCCTCCTGTAGAGCAGGAGCAGTTGTAGGCGGGATTACCTGTAGGAAACATACAGTACTTTTGGTTACTATTTTTGGTAATTCTGGAAGTTTTTACTGGATAGTTAACGATTTTTTTTGTGTTAACGTAAGTAGCTAACTTCTGAATGGTGTTGGGTATGTTTCACAGGTTTTGACCGTATTCTTTGACACACCAACATCGTTTTTATTCCTGAATACTTTATCTTACTTTACTTTGGGTCCCTATTCACCTCCATGAGATTATATCCAAATTGAGAAATTAAAAAAATATCTAAATAAAAATAGTGATCAAATTCATTTTGATTTGCATCTTACCAGGACATTGTTTCATCTGATAGTGACGAATATTGTTTCCAAATCTTAATCCATTGCACGACGTAGAATTGTAATGAAACCAACACATCCCATTCCAGTCCACTGCCTCACATGCTAGGTCATAGTTACATGCCTGTAAACAGCGGGATAGTGGCCAAAAACCCTTCCATTCGCCTCCGCTGATGCTTATATTTTCATATAGATACAACACAAACTCTAGCACTGAAACAGATTTTCAGAAATAGTATATACATGTATGTCTGAGGTAAGAGTCAGTTGCCGTCACGTTTTCTACAGTTATAACGAGGTGTGCATTATATCAGCCGTTTAGGTTACACCTCTATATTGGAAAAGGAAGTATCTGAAATATATTTATTTTCAATGCAACCGAGTCAAATAATTGGTTGAATTCCAGTTGATACTGTGGCCGGTGTCTATAACATGTTCAGAAATGGGTCGATCTAGCTGTTATAAGAGGGTCCTGGGCTTCGTATCTCGAAAGGTTCGCTATGTTGCGCACGTGCGAAAGTGTCTCGATTCCATAACCGATTCTTTTTCGAGATACGGGGCCATGGAATTGAGACGCTTGCGCCTAGCGCTCAGTGAGTGTCAACATCTGCTCACGCCAGTCTGATGAAGGCCTACGTCCAGGGACCCGTAACTCGGAACGCATCGCGCATTGCGACCGAGTGCAAGAGTCTCTATTCCATAACTCCATTGGGTATATTACGAAACGGGGAGAGGCTGACATGGTAATTGAATGATATAAAATAGTAATATGCCATCTTAAGTAGGAAAACGAAAAAGGGCATTTGGTATGTTAAATCTGGATCTACAGGTACAATAGTTTCTTAATTGAAGTCAATTTCAAGCGGATCGATGTTTACATGTTTTCCTACCAAACCGATGCTCACGTTAATAAATCTCTGAATACACCGGCGAACGTATATTGCTCTTAAAGTTGTATATTATGATATATCTAAATTACACTAAAACACATCTACTAGTGTAATGATCAACTATGGCGGAGATCAACACAGTGATTATGATAAATCCTCAAAGTAGTGCGAAGGGCGATTATTTTTTCATTAGTAAATACAAGTCAGTAGCAATAAAATATGTCACATCGAAGTCAAGATAATATGAGAAGAAGAGATTACACTCTCATAAAATGAAATACAAATGTTTCGGTTTGATAATTTAGACAGAATATGTCGCACCGTGGAAGTATAACTGTACTTCCATGGTCGCATTGAGTTCAGGAAAATGGATAAAGAAAGATCATGTTTTTATTCAATTGTATTCTGCAGCAAAATAAGTATAGGAAATACTCACTTCCATATACTGGCGGTACCCTATCAAACACATCCTCTCTGTCAGTACACGTGATAGTAAGAAAACCGTATATATGGATGTATGGAGGTGTAACACACGTGTAGGTAACACTTTGGTGACTGTTTACACGGACAGCAGTTGGAGTTTGACGTGAATGAGGAACGACTGGCACGACACATTCTATTTTACGAAATACCCAAGTGGTCAAAACACTTGTTCTTTGCATAAACAGGAGTCTCATTTATTAATAGTTATCCCGTTTTCCTAATTCGAAAATTATATAACCAACTTACACGAGTGCATATAAATATATTTGGTTTCTACAAAAGACATACATAATTTTGCAAATGATTTTATTTGCAGTTAAAGCATTTTATAGATACATAAATAACTATTATCTTTTTTATGTTAACTACTATAAGTTTGACCAGAAACAACCTACCTGCGTCAGTTCCACGTAGGCAAATGACCAAATTGCAAATACAGAAAAATACATACGGTTGTAACAATTCCTTCATTGTAGCCACTCTTGTCCTAGAATGAGATTAATTAGCATGATTGACATAAATGTACACCCGTGTTATCAGACGGAAAGTCGTTAAACTGTGTCAACATGCCGTTTATTCATTTCTATTCCAAGCAATAATTGACTTCTGACTTTTGAAGGGAATAGAACACAAAAGTAATGAGGAAGTGCTAATAATCTGAAAATAAAAAGATTATAATTGAACGCTTTCAAGAAAAGAAAATTAGCTTAGTTTGATCGCATCACAAGAAAAAAAAATAATTTGCAGTGGTTGCTTTTGGAAAGAAAGTTTAATGGGAAAAGTGGTAAAGGAAGACCAAGAACAACATGGATGCAGGTAAAAGAATGAAGCAATAAAAATATAGTGAAAGTATACGAATGGCACAAGATGGAGGGTCATGGCGAACAATAACAGTCAGCCTGCTGACAGTGGATGGCACCAAATGATGATAATAAATCAGTTTTTAATCGTTTATGAGCCTGTTCAGTATCAAGTATGAATCTCATTTCTAAGGTCGCATTCAGAACAGTGGACTAGCTAGTCCGCGGGTCAAATATGGCGACGCCCTAAAGAGTCTGACTTCTAATCTGCTAATAGACACTTAATAAATTCCCCGAGGGGAAGTATTTAAGTGGGTCGGCCATATTTGACCCTCGGACTAGTTAGTCCACTGTTCTGAATGCAGCCTAAGTCTAACTGACATATTATCTCTAGTTTGTTCAACTCTCAAAGGAAACGATGTCCCATTCTTATAGATTTAATACTTTAATTGGTGAAAAAATCTTATCTTCGTTTACTTTTAATTCACCATGCATTTATCTTTCCCAAACCTTTGATGAAATTTATTTGACCATTCGCTGCAAAGAAAAAAATTGTTAAACGTGGTACAGTCTAGGACATATTCTAGTTTCAAGTGCAAGGCACTTGCATCGAGGAGCTTCAGTTTGTGGCGTGTTCTTGCTCCCCTTTTGCAAAAGGAGCATGGGCTGAAGTCGTCTTTTAACTTTCTGGGAAAAATGAAAGGGTTACGGAGGCAAAGCAATATATAGTGTACGATATATTATCCCAGTTGTCGCACTTGACCGGAACACCATTTGAAGTAACCTGTGCAAAATGGGCACATTTCGGGGAGGTTTGGTGGGGCCCTCCCTGACCGAGCTCTTGAATATATAAAAACGTATTCCCATTGAAATTATATTGAATTTACGAGACTACATGAGACATGATTTGGTTAAAGTTGTGCAAAAACAAAATGCCCCCCTCCTGCATAATACAACGTCCGCCCAGCAAAGCAGACTAATATCATCTTAATTTTGATGTACATAACATTATTATATATTTACGTGCAATTCACTGGCGTTTTACAAGTCGGTTTCGTGGTAGCATATGTGTAAACTTACCTTACTCTGAAACTGGCATTTGCATAGCCAGAGTAGCCACAGTCTAGACGATGTAATGGCGACGAGGTTAAGTTAGTTAAGTTCCTGTGTTGATCAGGAAGTGTATCACCTTTTGCTTTTTTTTATTTCAACGTGACCTAGATTCACGTGCAATATGTGCATGAGTTAAACGTCTATACCTATGCGGCAAGAATACTTCTGTTGTTTATTGGTGTCTGAGATGGCGTCATGCTAATACAATATTTAAATCCATTTAAGGTACAAATTAAGACAAAAGAGTTTTACGGCTAACGCAACGAAAAGCATGAAGATTCTAGAAATTATTTGCTATTTTTATTATGATCTAAATAAAAATATCGAAAATTAAGCTTTTACATTACAAGTTTATCTTTATATTATCAACTTCTACAATATGAACAAACAACAGTGCAGTGTCTTCAACAGTACCAGTGTAGTAAAATATTAAAGGGCAGTGGCAACAGAGGTTGGTCCCATTGTTATTCATGTTTTTCTTTCCCCTCAGCGGCTTTGTTGTTAACACGAAACTACACCGTCCGTCGTGTGAAATATAAAAAGGATCACTTCCTTGTGTACAAAACTCCGCAGATACGCACCTAGACCTAACCACACATTGACAAGCCTTATCTTTCTAAGGTCATTCAACTGGCTACGGTTAGTATTAAACCCGTTACACGTTCATGTACTGTAATCAGTAGGCCTACACGTAAGCATCAGAAAAGGCAAGATGTCTCGAAAGAATTAATGTAGATTGATCACGATTGAAAATTGTCTTTGATAGTGTAAAAGCGACTAGGCAGGTAAGTGTAAATGCTTTGTACAGTAAGTGACATGTTCTACAGGATACTTTAAATCACAGTACTTAGCCTGAACCGTGTACGCATCTCTCTCAAATATTACCAACGTAATAAGGACTACAGTGTACAGTGTATGTAATTAGAACTGATCGCGATTTGTCACTTTCTTGCATTACACCACGTACCTGTACATACCTGTGACAGAAAGGCGACACAACGATTAGATTGGTCTTTTCTTGTAAGATATTTTAATTACACGACTTAAAGGCAGGTGGTGGGTGGAGAGATATCAGTACAACCAAGGTTTATAAATCAAAACCTCTTTACAGTTAGCATTATGTTTTGGGCCCTTTTTCAAATGGAGCAGTATACGGCCTGCCCCCATTGAATTTAATAGGTCCTAAAGTGTACTTGCGATACAGGTTTTTTTACTCTCTTTCACGAGACCATGTTCAGGGAGTAGGGGGAGGGGTGGAATTTAGGTGCCTCTTATACGTCATAGACAAGCTTTCAAATTTTCAATTGCATAAACTATACTTGTAAAGGTAAGTCACCTAAATGCCTTTAATTGGTTGGTTTGAAAGCAAATGACCATAAAGGTTTGAATGTTCGTCCTTCATAAAGGACAAACACTCCTTCGGAACAACACATTAGGAGGGTACATGTACGAGAAGCTAGATAAAAAGTACAGGTAGATAATAAAACAGGCGTGCTACTTTATCAGAACTTACTCATCGAGAAATGTTAATAAGTTTCATCACACAGTTGTGTAGTAATACAGTAATGCTGATACATGCTGAAGTGCCTGGGATTATTTGCTTATTTGTTGGTTCAGTAAAAAGTTGGATTTTTTTCTACCAAAGATCTAAGAGGAAATGCCCTGGTTTTTTAATATCTAAGTATTTATTCAATCTTATTTTTTAAATTTGTTAGCTTCGAAAACTTCCATTTTCGACAGTAAGTCGGTCAGTCTGTCTGTTCGTTTTTAAGTTTGTCTGTTAGCAGTCTACAAGTCGCAATTTTGATAATATCACTTCCAGCCACATGACCACATCTGTATCCGCATGTCTTTTCCGTCCTTTATTTTTTTTTTCGCTTTCATTGTCAATGGTTGTGTATATACCATTTGTTCATTAATGTATCTATTTATTTATTTATATTTTATATTTGTTATTCTAATATCACATAAAGTTGTACATAGAAAATGGTTGAACTTTTTTGTAACGTGCTTAAAAATACGTGTTGCTTTTATTATCAGAATTAACCTATTTGACAATGAGTCACCCTCTCTGGTGATATTATTCAAGCATGAATCTTTGTTTTTCGCATCCAAATACTTTAACTTGACATTTATTTCAGGGCAAGGACAACAAGACAATGAAAGGACTGTCGAGCATTTTAAAACCTTTTCTGATATTTTGTTTACTTCGTGGTTGGCAAGGGAACCACGCAGGTAAATGGAACAAGTTTTCACACAGGATGTACATGGACACCCCCCCCCCAAAAAAAAAATAAATAAATAAATAAAAATAAATAAATCGCGACATGAGTCAAAAGAGGAACACATTCTCAATTCCTGTGCCCTGCATATTACAATTAAACCATCCCTCTTTCCTGATTTATGTATTTTAGCAAATGTAAGTGAGACATTTTTATTCATGTTCCCGCCCCCTTTTACATCTTACCAAAAATCCTGGATCATGCAGTGCATGATCCGAAATGCGATCTGACACACACCTTGAAAACGGGTAGTGTGGTCCGATATACCGGTTAATTCAGGATCCTTAGGTGCCGAGTCTGGTAGTTGGGTAGGCCTGAATATAAAAAAGATATATTTGACTTTTTTAAATGAAGGTAAATCTCTTAACATTGTAAGCTATATATCCGTACACCGGTGTATTCAGGATTTCACTTGGGGTAGGGTCGAGGGAGGCATGCGTTTGGGGCGGCAAATAATTGCATCGATCCACTAGCCGAACCCTTCTTGGCATAAAACGGACCCAGATAAGTTTGTAAATACCCCAGGTCCCATTTGATTTGGCCACATGCTACAGGATACAATATATCATTCAGTAACTACACGTATGTATGACAAGGAGAGTGGTTAGTCGATAGACAAGGCTTACTGAATACAACAAATTGACTCAATTGCACTGAAAATAAATATATTTTAGATACTTCCTTTCCAAATATAGAGGTGTGACTCAAAGGGCTTATATAATGCACATCTCGTTATTACTGTAGAAAACATGACGGCTTCTGAATCTTACCTCAGACATACAAGTTATTTCTGAAAATCTTCAATTTCAGTGCCAGAGTACGTGTTATATCTATATGAAAATATAAGCATCAGCGGGGGCGCACAGAAGGGTTATCACCCACTATCCAGCTGTTTACAGGCCTGTAACGGTGACACAGCATGCGAGGCAGTTGACTGGGATGGGAGTTGTTGGTTTCATTACAGTTCTTCGTCGTGCAATGGATTAAGATTTGGAAGCAATGTTCTTCACTATCAAATGAAACGATGTCCTGGTAAGAAATCGAAACAATATTTTATTCACCATTTTTATTTTGATATTAAGTTATTAATATATTTTATCTTATTCATTTTTCGTTTTGCATATTATCTCACGGATTGGAATAGGGGCCCTTTTAATAAGTTAAGAAAGATAAAGTATTGAGGAAGTAAAAATGACGTTGGTGTCATAGAATACGGTCAATAACTATGAAACATACCCAGCACAATTCAGAAAGAAGATACGTAATCACAAAGAATCTTATAATCACCCAGCAGATTCCTGTATTACCAAAAAGTAATGAAAGGTACGTTTTGTTTTCTACAGATAATCCCGCCTACAACTGCTCCTGCTCTACAGGAGGAACGTGTGTGAGAACATACACTTCACTGACACAGATATCTTCAGAGGAGTGTGTGTGTAACCTGGGACGTACCGGTGACCAGTGTTTTAGTTGTAAGTGGGACTTCATTGTTATTTCTCACACTATGTTTAACATCGAAACCTAAGCAACGCCTGTAAAAAAGATACGTCCATGTAGTTTATTGTGTGTCTAAACAAAAATACGCTATGGATAAAAATGTGGTGCAATCTCTTTATATAAAAGCTCTTTACAACTGTTTCAAAATTAAACAGCAGACACATGGAACACAGTCCTCAAAGAAATCACATGATATCAAATGAATAAAAATAGATAAATAAATAATAAGTGTAAGTGCAACCAAATGTTCACTTTTTCATTATCTTTGCGACTGATGGATTTCTTTACAGACATATACTTTGTTTTTAGACGTGGAATGCACTGCCCCAACTTTTCCCAATGCAGCTCCCTCTCCGGCAACTGGAGGTTACAAATTTGGAAGCAATGTTACCTATACTTGCAACAGTGGATATCAACTCAGCGGTGGTTCTGGTTCCAGTTTCACACTCACTTGCAGTCATAGGGGGACGTTTGAAGGGGAGAGGAAAACATGCAACAGTAAGTCTAATATCAACAAGACATCAAAAGTAGAAAAAAACTAATTAGGAATTATAAATAAGATTTGAAACAAAAACTTTTAAAGAAAAATTCCTCCTAACTGTTTAAAATTTTACTGAAAATCCATAGGAGTCATAAGAGTGTTAAAACACTCTTATGACTCCGATGGATTTTCAGTAATTTTTCTTCATTTACCTTAAACATCTTTCAATTATATTAAATATATAATATCGGATGATAGATATCTTGCAATATACTTTATTTTCAAAGGTTCATTATCATTTTAGACCTTATACATGAAGCTCTAAGAAATGACCAACATACTGGTACATGTGGTAGCTTGCGACTATGTTGGAGCGTCTTAACTTTTATGACATGTACAGTTTAAACGGAATTTGTCAATTATTCTTGTTCTTTGTGCAACCTTTGATCGGCTTTTCATCGTCGTTGCGATTAATGGATTTCTTTACATTATGATTTTTTTAGTTGTGGAATGCACTGCCCTGACTATATTCCTAACGCAGCTTCCTCTCCGGCAACTGAAGTATACATATTTAGAAGCAATATTACCTATAACTGCAACAGTGGGTATCAACTCAGCGATGGTTCCGGTTCCAGTTTCACACTGACTTGCGGTCCTAAAGGAGAGTTTGAAGGAGAGAGGAAAACATGCAACAGTAAGTCTGATACCAGAAAGACATCAAAAATAGAAAAGAATTAATTTGGGGTTATTAATAAGGCTTGAAATAAATGCGATGGAAACTTTTAAAGAAAAAATCCTTAAAACTGTTTGAAAATAATTACTCGTACGTCTCCGACGAATTTTAAATAATTATATTTGCATTTAACATAAACATCTTTCAATTATATGAAATAAATAATATCTGATGATAGATATCTTGTAATATTTACTTTATTTGCAAAGTTTCATTTATTTCTTAGAGCTTCATGTATAAGGGCTAAAATGATACTGGTACATGTGGTAGCTTGCGAGTATGTTGGAGCGTCTTAACTTTTATGACATGGACAGTTTAAATGGGAATTGTCAGTTTATGCAACCAAGTGATCGGCTTTTCATCGTCGTTGCGAGTAATGGATTTCTTTAAATTATTATTTTTTAGTTGTGGAATGCACTGCCCTGATTATTCCTAACGCAGCTCCCTCTCCGGCAACTGGAGTATACAGATTTGGAAGCAATGTTACCTATACTTGTAACAGTGGGTACAGATTCAGCAATGGTTCTGGTTCCAGTTTTACACTGACTTGCGGTCCTAAAGGAGAGTTTGAAGGAGAGAGGAAAACATGCAACAGTAAGTCTGATTCCAAAAAGACATCAAAGTGAAAAAAAGGACAGATTGTGAATCATAGATGCAGTAATCAGTCTGCAGCTGGTCGATCCTTAACACAATTAGACTTCCGTAAGTATTCTGGGCATAATTATTGTCGGTGTTATTGGGCTTTGAACAAACTTGGCTAAATGAAGATATTGAAAAAAATATTTCTCTTCCAGGAACCTGTGACCTTCCTAAAAGTGATCACCTGAGACGGGTAACACAGCGTTCCGTTACCTTTGAAGGACAAACTGTCACATATACGTGCGACACTGGCTTTCAATTCAACGACACGTCAACGGTAAAGAACCTAACTTGTCAAGCCGATGGTTCATTTGACCACAGTTTGCCTAGCTGTGTTCCCATATCGTGTGCTTTTCCTACCAGCAAATTTAACTTGAATACAGTAAAAGGACCATATAATTACAAACAGAATGTGACATTTTCTTGCATTTCTGGATATAATTTCGCTGGTTATAACGTCAAAGAGGCGATTACGTCACAATGCATTGCGACTGATACTATGGAACCACCAATACCTGACTGCATAAAAAGAACATGTACTTTACCTCATTTAAACAACACGGTGGCGAGGGCTGAAAGCAAGGATCTGTTCTTCATGACACCAGTTGAGTTCGAATGCATGAAAGGATTTCAGTTCCCGAATGGCAATACCAAGGTAACCTTGACGTGTGATGAAACCGGTGGATTTGGGATGGATTCTCTTAGTTGTACAGGTACGGGTTTTTAATGAATATTTATTAAATATTAGTACGAGAACCCTGAGAATTAGAGCACCCTGAGAAGATAACGAAATAAATGCAACATGTGTGTGTGTGTGTGTGTGTGTGTGTGTGTGTGTAAATAAGCGCTTTGTCCGCTTGACAAAGCAGACTGAAGCTTTTCAGTTTTAACTTATTTTTTTAAAAAATACACTGTAATAATAACACGGTATGATATCCTGTACGATTATTTTGTACGTTTCTTTTAAATATTGTTTGCTTTGTGTAACGTTACAAAACTCATGGTGTCTACTTACCATTAATACAGGTTTTGTGTGCAGAGATGGAAAGGTATTTTAAAACTGGTTGAGGAGTTGATTTATGAATCCTTTTTGAAAGAAGTGTGTTAGTCGTGAATACGTGTGAAATGTTATGTAGAGGTACGTTTCAGAAAATAATTGTGATGTAGTTAACTGATATTTAGGTACACTTAAGGGTAAATTTTCCCAGAAAGAGATTTCGCTATCTATAAAATCATATAAAATAATTCAAGCTAACCTACTTATTCCCTTTTTACCATTCAGCGGTGTTGCCTGAGGCTGGTACCCAAGCAGCATCCACAGGCCCTAACATTGGTGTCAGTGTCGGTGTGGGCGTTACTGGGGCGATGGTGCTGTTATCACTTGTTGTTATAGTAGTTGTATTCTACAAATGTAGACGGTAAGTGGAAACATCCCATACTGGGTTGTTTTATTTCATTTCTGTTTAAGTTAGTGATAGAGACGTACCAATATATGTATGTAAGAATAAAAAGGGAGACCATGTTAAAGATGTAATTGTAATCGGTTTAAATGAATGAGAAACTGTATATATATCATCATATATATATCCGTCAAGTTCTATAACTTCGTCGGTTGTTGGATTTGTTTATACTTATATTGTTTATACTCATAATAGGTACAGTTCTCACTTGGAGAGTTTTCAGTGTCTATTTTTTTATTCAATTGGTACATTTATTTATCGATTTTGCTTTGATCGAGTTGACTGGTAAATGGAACGTGTTTCCTGTCCTTTCAGGAAACAGATGTCAAACTCAAATGAAGACATCGATGTATCTAGCAACGGAAAGCTCAGCAAAACAATGTACACAGCATCCAATACTCACATTGACACAAATCTGTACGAACTCGAGGGAGAATGTCCAATGGCAGACCGGTATGATCAGTCAAATAATATGAGACAGAATTCTAATAACAAAAACCAGACCTCTGATGTACAGGATCTATATGCTGTGCCTGACAAATCCAAAAAGACCAAAAAAGGCAAGAAAAAACAAAATACCCCTGCAAGCTATCCAGAAGATGCGTATGAATATGTCAGCAAACCTTCTACCCAGACATCTTTCGTTTCAAGACAGGATTGTAGTAGCACCTATGAACTTGCAGGGCAGTTTCAAAATGGGGGCTATACCCAATCTATTGATGAGGCAGATGACGTGGAGTTTGTTGAAAACGACATTTATGAAACAGGAGACATTGACAACATGGGCCATACATGTGTTGAGTCAGTTGAAAACGACATTTATAATTCGTCGGCGTAATTCCATTTCAGACTATTTGCTGTCCTTTATGTTTTATATTTGGGAACCTGTTTATCTCAATGTTTACTAGTATGTTGGGATAGAAAACTGGGCCTGTTATGTGGATAATTGCTCCGCCATACAAAATGTTCTTCGTAATGCCCTAAGCATTTATGCGCTGGTTAAATTAAGCTTTGTGGTAAACTTGTGTAAACCTATTTAGGTCTGTGTCCAAAGTTTGACTTATAGAGAGTAATGAAAACTGAGCTGTGATGACTTTATTGAAACTTCTTTACCCTAAAACATGTTGTAGGGTGATTGTACATGATCATAGATTTCCTTAAGAGTCAAATATGTAAAAAAAATCCTCATTAAGTGATTGTTTCTAATAAAATAAAAATATTTTTATATGTTAGTTTATTTGAATTGAATTTAATTTTGCTATTTAATTTTTTTAAATGTACATCAACTTTGGACTTTGAGACTTCAAAACCAGTCTTGTAGCAATTATTTTGCACCACACGTCAACAAAATTTAAAAAGTAATTCCATTTAATAATACCAAACTGTTTTTGAGATTTTAGAAGAAACTTATCAGTTCAGCGAGAGTCCTCATGGAGTATGAAGTGCGCATTAGCTACGTCCACAAAATTTGAATTAGGGACCATTCCCAATCGTACTAGCAGGATCGTTCTATCTCCCAGGTGACTCTCACTAAATCGCATTCAGTTTAAGCGTGTACGAAAGTTAATTACTGCCCTAGCAGCTTCAATGGGCGCGACAGACATTTAAGCCGCTTAAACTGAATGCAATTAAGCAAGAGTCCCTTTGTGGTTAGATCAATCCTGCTAGTGATAGGTTTACAGCGACCCGATCTTACAGTGGTTGAGAGAGTATATGTCTGTGCAATGCTTTAGTTGAGACGTGGAATAGAAAAATCGCCCTCCCCTATATTTTCTTGGTGTGGTTGAGCTAAGCAATGCTTTAGTTGAGACACGGATGGGAAAACTGAATTGTGGACAGATGTACCCAGACTGTTCTCTACATGAAGTCTACGACCGATAAAACAGACATTCATTTGAATTGAAAATTTTAAGTCATTTTCCTGATATACACGATGTAAGTAAATAATAGTAAACAAAAATATACATGATCGGAGCATTAAGTATTTCATCATTTGTTATTTTTTCATTTGTCCGTTAACATTAAATTTATTCAAACAAAACATGTTTACATTGTTATAATATAAAAGTGTTTCATTTGAAATAATAAGTAATCAGTTATGTTGTAAGATGAACGCATCTCTGCCTCCACAGGAGCATATTGAGCAGTGGCGGATTTAGGGGGGGGGGTCAAGGGGGTCCTGACCCCTCTTCGGTTTCTGAAAAATTACAACACCAATATTCCTATCTTGATATTAGAATTATGACTAGCTAAATCAAAGTTCTAAATCGTACCAAAGGACAGTGTTTGCTCTCCAAAACACCAAAAATTTTTCGGGGCCCTCAAACAGGCCCGAGTCCCACACCAAGGGGATGATGATCGGCTTCGCATCCATAGTCTTTATGATAAATGCACTACTACCATAACTGCAGATGAAAAGAGCATTGTGATATTTTTCACTGATACACCGTATAGTACAACAAATCCGAAATATATGTTATGCCTAATGGAAGCTTAAAGCAAAACATGATCTGTTAATAACATAAAACATTATAAATAACTAATAAATTTAAATATAGTGGCATATTTTCTTACAAAAAATTATAATGCAAAACGTGAAACTTTTATGTTACGTGAGTGCAATTTGACTGTTAGTGGAAGAATACATTTCTAAGACTAATGAGATACAATTTGAAGTTTGCCTCTATAACAAATTTTCTATCATCTGCTTTACTCACTCAGACAGTCATAAAATTTACATTCCTGCGCTTTTGAAGATTGAAATTCATTGAAAAACATTTTAAATTCAACATTAACGTAACGGCACAACTCGATTTAACCCAAAATATTTGGATTTGTTAAAATGGACCCAACGGTGGAAACATTATCAAATGAAAATGCTTCCGCAAGTAAGTCGTCTGCCAAAATGTAAGAATAATACTTAAGAGCAATGTTTGTTTTCCCACTTGTAACCCTGTGATGAAACTGAGGGTCCGCGTAAAAGAGAATTCACCCTTCATAATAATATATAGGTATATATATAAAATATATATAATATATAGGTCAGTGGACTCTCTGGTGCATGACACTTGTTCCTGCGCCACGGGGACCCTCTGAAAGCTGTGTTATGCCGTGAATTTCACAGTTAATTATGTATGATGTGTTGCAGTTTAGTCCCTTATCATTCCGCACAGGAGCTTGTATAAATTAAGCCTAGTCCTGATGTATACCAGCGGCTGTTGGTTGTTGTTGATTACTGTCGTTTGCTGGCATGCCAAGATCAGTATATGCGCTGTCATTGACGTTAGCATATCCAACCACGTTGTCATCTGTTGCCATAGCGTTGGCCTCCAGCGACATATACTCGTGTTCCCTATCAACACTGTCTGGCGGACTCCAACTGTTTTGGTGTAACTCTGAGGTGTCGCTGTGATCTGTGTCAGCAAAAGGCTGAGAAACAGGGTTCCGTCTACAGAATTAAAATGAAATTCAACAATAAAAATTCATAATTTTTACCCAAAAACGTGAAAAAGCTGTAAAACATAACATCATCATATATTTAAATAAGATCACCGTTGGCTAAGATGAATTTCTAGACATTTTTAAACAGAATCTGTTTATTTATTATTGCAAAAATGCCTTGCACTTCGATTTAAGCTTTATATTTTAAGCTCTATATTATAGAATTTTGGTTTGACACTGTTATTTGTATAATACAAAATCCTATTTTAACATTCCAAGCAATATTTTCAATAATATCGTTGAGATCCCATTTTTAGATAGTACACGACTCTTTGCAATACCCAGCTGTCAAAAAGCTATTACTGCGTCCAAGGAACCATTCCCATACCCTATCGTAGTGACTGTGGATCGATCTATTGCCATTTATCTCCAAGTAGATTCTCGCTTAATGGCAATCAGCTTAAGTAGTTTAGATGTCTGTTACGCCTACTGAAGCTGATAGGGTGTAATTAATTATCATTTAGCAGCTTTAAGCTGAAAGCAATTTAGCGAGAAACACCTTGGGGATGGATCGATCCTGTTAGATCGATTTAGGTATGGGAACCCAGTTTAACTGACCTTATGACAACCACAATGACTCCCACCAAGACCAGCACCAATGCTGTTGCTATCCAGCCGCTGATGGCGACAGCCACAGGTACTTGTTCTTTCAAACATTAAAGATATTTAATTTTACAGTAGAGATAGGTTTATAGACATATCTGTTTGATTTCATTAAATATTATATGACCAATAAAAGGTTACATATTACATCTTTCCCATCCAGTCAATTGCTTTGTGATTCATTCATGCAAGCACCTTTCTCTTTCCTCTTTTACTGAACACATATAATTTGATTTTACGTTTTATCACCGTTCTCCTCTCAGTACCTGTCAATGCTTCTGGCGTGACTTCTTTCCTTTGGATGACTGAAAAGAAATAACTTAATTTTTACGAAAGGCATTTAATGGCTTTTGTTGTATTTATACAAACTATCTATTCTCTTATTAAAGGTGTGTGGACCACATTATTTTTCAGAAATAAATGCTCTTCATAATGTTAAGTTCAGCTGAGAAGCACTTTCTGGTAAACTTATGTAAACCTATTTAATTCTGTTCAAAGTTTGCTTACAGCGAAAATCCGTTTTTACCAACGATAATGTATGTGGACACTAAAATTCGAAATTTCAAATGGACAATAACCTGAAAAAGTCCTTGTTCCGATATGGTTATATACTTTTGTATAGAAATTAGCTCTTAAATATCATTTTGTGGTGTTCAGCGTCAAGGGATTTAGACTAATAGATAGCCATAAAAACTGAGCTGTGATGACTTTATTGAAACTTTATTCACCCATAAACATGTTGTATGGTGATTGTACATGATCATAGATTTCCTTAGTTGTCAAATATTTAAAATTTTCCTCATTTAGTGATTGTTTCTAATATAATTAAAGTATACTTGGTAGGTGACTTATAGGTGGAATAGACCGGGTATAAATGACAACATTAGTCTCTATGCTAAATTCACTACTACCCTTACCTCAGATGAAAATGAGTATTGTGATTTTTTTTACTGATGCACAGTATTGTACAACAAATCCGAGAAATATATTAAGCCAATGGAAGCTAACGCCCCAATAAATAGTTTTTACGTTTTATCACCGTTCTCCTCTCATTACCTGTCAATGCTTCTGGCGTGACTTCTTTCCTTTGAATGACTGAAAAGAAATAACTTATTTCTTTACGAAAGGCATTAAATGGCTTTTGTTGTATTTATACAAACTATCTATTCTCTTATTAAAAGTGTGTGGACCACATTATTTTTATTTGTTTGCCTAAATGGTGTTTTCCTTATTATTCTTATCAATTTCAAATTTCGCTTCATAATACTTTCAAAAATTTTTCTGACATTTAACGCCCAGTTTCTGCATCTTCCCAAGTTTTGTTTCATGATGTTCATATGTAAAAGCCAAAATGTTCAATTATCATAGAAATTTTATCACTCTCCTTAATGACTAAGTTATTCACGTGTGTTCATGTAAAATTATAATCCATTACTGGATCTGAGTCACTCTCCTGATGGAGATACAAACCGGTGGATTGTGATGTTTAAAATAATATAAAAAGGAAAAAAGGAATATTGAACGAAGATAATATATCAAATATTGTAATTTTTATGAGTGGTTTAAGATGAAGTGTACCATGGCGATAAAAATGTTGAAACTTCCCATTTTAAAATAAAGTTCTTAAGTGCATTGTCGTTATTCAGTGTAACGTGAAAATGCAAGAAAAAGTCATATTTTGTCGGTACACATACGGACCTTCTTCTACCAAACCAAAATTGAATTTACCAGAAG